GTCCCATCATTGGTATCAGTGGGAGGAATAGTGCCCCATCATTGGTGTCAGTGGGAGGAATAGTGCCCCATCATTGGTGTCAGTTGGGAGGAATAGTGCTCCATCATTGGTGTTAGTGGGAGGAATAGTGCCCCATCATTGGTATCAGTGGGAGGAATAGTGCTCCTTCATTGGTATCAGTGGGAGGAATAGTGCCCCCATCATTGGTGTCAGTGGGAGGAATAGTGGCCCCATCATTGGTATCAGTGGGAGGAATAGTGCCCCATCATTGGTGTCAGTGGGAGGAATAGTGCCCCATCATTGGTGCCAGTGGGAGGAATAGTGTCCCATCATTGGTGTCAGTGGGAGGAATAGTGCCTCATCATTGGCGTCAGTGGAAGGAATAGTGCCCCATCATTGGTGTCAGTGGGAGGAATTGTGCCCCATCATTGGTGTCAGTGGGAGGAATAGCGCCCCATCATTGGTATCAGTGGGAGGAGTAGTGCCCCATTCATCATGGTGTCAGTGGGAGGAATAGCGCCCCATCATTGGTGTCAGTGGGAGGAATAGTGCCCCATCATTGGTGTCATTGGGAGGAATAGCGCCCCATCATTGGTGTCAGTGGGAGGAATAGTGCCCCATCATTGGTATCAGTGGGAGGAATAGCGTCCCATCATTGGGTGTCAGTGGGAGGAATAGTGCCCCATCATTGGTGTCAGTGGGAGGAATAGTGCCCCATCATTGGTGTCAGTGGGAGGAATAGTGCCCCATCATTGGTGTCAGTGGGAGGAATAGTGCCCCATCATTGGTGTCAGTGGGAGGAATAGTGCCCCATCATTGGTGTCAGTGGGAGGAATAGTGCCCCATCATTGGTGTCAGTGGGAGGAATAGTGCCCCATCATTGTTGTCAGTGGGAGGAATAGTGCCCCATTGTTGGTGATATTGGGTGAAACTGTATACTATCATTTGAATAAATGGGGAGGATTTGTGCCCCATTTGTTGGTGTCAGTGGCAGGAATGATGTCCCATTGTCCCCCAAGTCAGTGGATGGAATGGTGCCCTAAGGGCCAGATAAAAGCCAGCAAAGGGCCACATCCGGCCCCTGGGCCACCATTTGGAGACCAGTGCTGTAGAGCCTTTGAGCCCGGGTTCACAATGATGCAGGGGCGTAACATTCACACAGCAACCACACTGCGTGTGAATCACATGCGATTTTCTGTGCTGTGCAATTTGAGCCGTACAGTTTGTATGGTTCAAATCGCATTACATCTGCACAGAATATAGTGCAGGACCCTTTTTTTTTTGTCAACGCCAGAATCGGATCACATGGGTGTTCACACCTGATTCTGCACATTGCCCCGCATTTCGGGGTGTTGTCACCTTAACATACACCCCCGCAGTGGTTCACACGAGCGGGGTGCGATTATGATGCGGCGCGGACCTTGTAGCGTGAAACCGGGGATAAATGTCATTTTTTTGCCAAACCCGATTTTGAATGCGCACAGAGCCGAGTATGATTGCTGCCTTCCTGCTTTCCAATTGCGATTTATTGTATTTCATTTATTTCTTTTTAGTTTTTAGTCTGCCATCTTATTTTCCCCGTCTTGTCCCAGGTTCACCCCGAAATCACAGCGCCAAATCACATGACAAGTCGAAAAGTAGTTCTTTCGCTATTTTGGCAACTTTTGGTGCGACTTGCATCGACTTCTGTGCATGAAGTGGTACAGACATACAGTTGTGCTCAAAAGTTTGCATACCCCGGGGAGGAATTGTGAAATTTTGGCATTGATATTGAAAATATGACTGATCGTGCCAGAAAATGCTCTTTTATTGAAGGATGATGATCATATGAAGACTTTTATTATCACATAGTTGTTTGGCTCCTTTTTAAATCATAATTATAACAGAAATCCCCCAAATGGCCCAGATCAGAAGTCTCCGCCCCCCGGATCAGAAGTCTCCGCCCCCGAATCAGAAATCTCCGCCCCCTGGATCATGAAGTCTCCGCCTCCCCGGATCAGAAGTCTCCGCCCCCCGGTTTAGAAGTCTCCACCCCCGGATCAGAAGTCTCCGCCCCTGGATCAGAAGTTTCCCCGCCCCCTAGAATGTTCGGCCTTGGTACAGACACTTTTTAAATCATAATGATAACAGAAATCCCCCAAATGGCCCGGATCAGAAGTCTCCGCCCCCCGGATCAGAAGTCCCCGCCCCCCCGGATCAGAAGTCCCCCGCCCCCCGGATCAGAAGTCCCCGCCCCTGGATCAGAAGTCTCCGCCCCCGGGATCAGAAATCTCTGCCCCCGGATCAGAAATCTCCGCCTCCTGGAATGTTTGGCCTTGGTACAGGCACACAAGGTGACACACACGGGTTAAAAATGCCAATTAGAGGTTAATGTTCCATCTTTATAAAGTTCCTTTACCTTGTTACGCAGGACTTTTGACAGTTCTTTTCTGATCCCCATGGCTCAGTATCTAGCCTAGTCAGTGCTTCCACGGAAGAGCTAAGGAACTCATTGACTATTTATACACTGACACTAATTGCAATTTAAAAAGCCACAGATGTGGGACATTAACCTCTAATTGGCATTGTAACTCGTGTGTGTGTCACCTTGTGTGTCTGTACCAAGGCCGAACATTCTAGAGGGCGGAGACTTCTGATCCAGGGGCGGAGACTTCTGATCCGGGGGGGTGGAGACTTCTAAACCGGGGGGCAGAGACTTCTGATCCAGGGGGGCGGAGACTTCTGATCCGGGGGGCGGATACTTCTGATCCGGGGCGGAGACTTCTGATCCGGGGGCGGAGACTTCTGATCCGGGGGTGGAGACTTCTGATCAGGGCCATTTGGGTGATTTTGGTTATCATTATGATTTAAAAAGGAGCCAAACAACTATTTGATAATAAATGGCTTCATATGAGCATCATCCTTCAATAAAAGAGCGTTTTTTGGCAGATCAGTCCATATTTTCAATATCAATGCTAAAATGTCACAATTTCTGCCACCAGGGGAGGCAAACTTTTGAGCACAACTGTATATGTTATTGATAGCGCCGTCGTTTTTTGTTGTTCTTTATGTTTTGTCTATTGAAGGTGCACACTGCTTTATCACTCGGACTACACAGAGTCTAAGTGTTGATCACATTGTTTTTTGGTATAGATGTCTGCCAAGTCACCCCTGAACTTGCACTCACATGCGACTTTGAAATCATGCGAATTCCAGTGAAGCCGCCCAATTTCAAAGTCGGATCCAGTGTTGTGATCCCGGGCTAATGAAAATATTCAGCTACAGATGACTCTGAGTCTCCATGCACACTGGGGAGGGGGTGCTTTTGATAACGCTGGTAACGTTAGCTGTGCAAAGTCGCATTAAAAACAGGAGTTTTTCCGCGTTTTTTAGCATTTTTTGCATTTAGCTGCATTTTGCCACTTTTTCTGCTTTTTTTTGTGTTTGCGTTTTTTAGCATTTTTTCCTGGGCTTTTTTGCTAAAAAAAAGGTCCAAAAAATAACAGTTTTGTCGCATTTTCCGCTTTTTTTTTTTTTAGGATTTGCGTATTTTAGCATTTTTTAGCAATTTTTTTTTTTGCTCAAAAAACTCCAAAAATGCTGGTTTGCTGCGTTTTACCATGTTTTGCCGCACTTTACTGCGCTTTTCAGTGTTACAGTGTTTTTACAGCTTTCCTCTAGAAACCCACTAGTTCTGGCTTCATGCACACGGGGGCATTTTAATAACAATATTTTGCCGCGTTTTGCTGCGTTTTTTCAGCGTTAGAGTTTTTTTACAGCATTTAGCTGTATTTTTCGGTGTTTTTTTTTGTGGGTTTTTTTTACTCAAAAAAAGTCTAAAAACCACCAGTTGCCGCATTTTACTGCATTTTCAGTGTTAGAATGTTTTTACAGCCAAAAAACTCCTCTAGAAACCCGCTAGTCCTGGATCCATGCACACGGGGCGTTTAATAACACTGGTAACGGTAGCTGTGTAAATTCACGTTAAAAATGGGAGGTTTTCAGCGTTTTTTTTAGTGTTTTTGCATTAGCGTTTAGCGGCGTTTTGCTGCATTTAGCTTTTTTATCAAAAATTTTTTTTTTGCAAAAAAAAAAGTTCAAAAACGCTAGTTTGCTGCGGTTTACTGTGTTTTGCAATGTTTTTTCAGCGTTAAGAGTGTTTTTACAGCCAATAAACTTCTGCATTAGCATTAGTGTTTAGCAGCGTTTTGCCTTTTTTTGCATTTGCATTTTTTTAAGCGTTTTTTTTTTTTTAACACCCCCCTTTTTTTTTTGGGTAAAAAAATGTCCAAAAACACCGGTTTGTCGCGTTTTTTCAGCATTAGAGCATTTTTACAGCTAAAAAAAAAACTCCCTTTTTTTCCAGCCAAAAAACGTTGATTCGAGTCTATGTGTGTATGGACACCTAGGATAACATGCTGGGGGTTACTGGATGGAGAAAAAACATCAAAAGCCAAAAACAGTCGCTGTAAAAACATCCCGTGTGCGTGAGGACTTAGCTTGGGTTTACATGCGGTATATCGCATGTGATTCGCATTTTGTATGGTTGTATTCACACCGCATCCGCACCAAAAACATGCAGGACCCTTTTTTTGGGTCCGCACTAGAATCGGATCGCATGGGTATTCACACCTATGCGATCCGATTCTGCACATCGCACCGCGTTTTGCGGACCGATTTCGGGTGTTGTTAACCACCTTCCGCCCGCCATATAGTACAATGACGGACACAAGGTGGTTCTCTCGTTCTGGGAGGACGTCATATGATGTCCTTCCATTCTCACCGGCGGCTCTGGGAGCGCGCTGCGTGGCGATCGCCGGTGCGCTGTGCCCCTCGGACACAGCGTATCAAGGATCACCAAAAGAGCCGAAGATGTCGGCTCAGTCATGTGATCAGCTGTGTCCAATCACAGCTGACCACATGTAAACACAGAAATGCCGGTTATCGGCATTTCTCTCCTCACAAGCTGTCACCCTGACAGAGGAGAGGAGAGCCGGTAATCGGCATTCCGCAGAGGGGACATGTACACTGATAATCAGTGTGCCCTGATGGTCAGTGTGGCCCCAGAAGTGCCATCCTGTCAGTGTCCATCAGTGCCAGCAGTCAGTGCTCATCAGTGCCTCGTGCCAGTGCCCATCAGTGCCACATCAATGCCACATATCAGTGCCCATCTGAGCTGCCTTTCAATATCACCCATCAGTGCCAGTCAGTGCCACCTATCAATGACAATCAGTGCCACCTATCAGTGCACATCAGTGCCACCTATCAGTGCACATCAGTGCCGCCTATCAGTGCACATCAGTGTCACCTATCAGTGCCAGTCAGTGCCACCTATCAGTGCCAGTCAGTGCCACCTATCAGTGCCAGTCAGTGCTGCCTAACAGTGCCAGTCAGTGCCGCCTATCAGTGCCAGTCAGTGCTGCCTATCAGTGCCATATATCAGTGTCATGTATCTGTGCTGCCTTTCAGTGCCCATCAGTGATGCCTGTCAGTGCCCATCAGTGCCACCTATCAGTTCCCATTACTACAGCTCATTAGCGCACATCAGTGAAGGAGAAAAATCACTTATTTACAAAATTGTATAACAAAAACTAAGAAAAAACTTTTTTTTTTTAATTTTCAGTTGTTTTTGGTTTGTTTAAGAAAAAATAAAAATCCCAGAGGTGATTAAATACCACCAAAAGAAAGCTCTATCTGTCTCAAAAAAATGATACAAATTTATTATGGGTACAGTGTTGCATGACCACGCAATTGTCATTCAAAGTGTGACAGCGCTGAAAGCTGAAAATTGGCCTGGGCAGGAAGGGGGTATAAGTGCCCTGTAGGCGAGGGGTTAACTTAACCCCCCTGGCGGTATTCCCGAGTGTAGCTCGGGGTAAAGTTTCAGCACCACAAGCGGTAACCCCCCCCCCCCGAGCTACACTCGGGAATACACTGCAGCGTTGCTCCGGGATCTCTTCTGCACTTACCTTGTCCTGCGCTCCCGCGATGTCCCCCCTGCAGTGTCCCCTGTAATGTCCTCCGGCGGACGCCAGCATCCGTCTTCTGGGTTCCGTTCCCTGCGACGTCGGGACGTACGGGGGACAGAACTGACGGGAAATTCAAAAATGTGAAAAAGTGACATTCACTAAATACACTAAAATCACATAGTATAACATTCCTGTATCAAACCATTTCACATACATTTTGTCCCGAGTGCTTTGTCCGGCGCCCTGCCTGCATTTTTACTGTTCTTTCTGCCTGGAAACTGAGAAACGTCCATGGCATCCAAAAAGCGCCCCTTTAGGTCAGACGCGTTTTAGACCGGCTAGAGAACAGCGATAGTAAATCAGAACCACTTGCAGAATTGAGTGATAATGATTCGTGGGGGAAATTCCTCATCAGACACTGAAAACGATTCTGCGACTTTGCTCAGCGATGTGCGAACTTGGCGCTATATTTCATATTTCAGTGTTTTTGGTTTGATTATATTATTGAATTAAATGTATTATATTATATTATGATTTTTTATGATTTTTTACCGCCATCCACGACCTCTTTGTTTCCCGTTCCCTCAACCTCCTGGCGATTACGGAAACCTGGATCCAGGCCACTGACTCTACCTCCCCTGCTGCACTCTCCTACGGAGGTCTCACCTGGACCCACTCACCCAGGCCCAACGGTCGTAAAGGTGGTGGGGTTGGTCTGCTCCTGTCACCGCAGAGCACCTTCCGAGTCCTCCCAAACCCCCCTCCCTATCCTTCTCCTCCTTCGAGGCCACTGCGTCCGACTATTCTCCCCAAACCCCCTGAAGATTGCTGTGATATACCGGCCTCCTGGATCCATACCCCGCTTCCTGGATGACTTCTCCTCCTGGCTACCCTTCTTCCTCTCCTCTGAGCTACCCACCATCATCCTTGGGGATTTCAACATCCCTGTCAACCTCAACAACCCGGACACATCCCATCTCCTCCACTTAACCTCCTTCTTTGCACTTGCACAGTGCATACAATCCACCACCCACTCCGACGGTAATATCCTTGATCTCGTCTTCTCCAACCACTGTGCTCCCCACAACCTCACTAACACCCCCTTTCCTCTCTCTGACCACAACCTGATCACCTTCTCTATCTCCTCGTCCTCCAACGCCTACCCCTCCAAATGTCACACTACTACCAGCCGTAACCTCCGCAACCTGAACCCTGCCTCCCTCCACTCTGCAGCTGATCAACTCCACGACCGCATCCTCCCCCTGTCCTGCCCTGACTTGGCTATGACTGCCTATAACAATGCGCTGTCAACAGCCCTTGACTCACTAGCGCCTTTAACCACACGCAACATCAGACCCCGACCGCTCCAGCCCTGGCAGACTGATCACACCAAAACCCTCAAACGACGCAGTCGTGCCCTGGAGCGACTATGGCGCAAAACCAAATCCCAACAAGCCTTCACCCGCTACAAATCTGCCTTCCGCACCTACACCTCCTCCCTCCACGCAGCCAAACAAGCCTACTTCCTGACCCTCATCAAGACCCTCTCCTCCAATCCTCGCCGACTCTTCTCCGCCTTCAACTCTCTACTCTCTCCACCCCCACCTCCACCCAGCACCTCACTCACTGCCCTTGAGATTGCTAATCACTTCAAAAACAAGATTGACACAATTTGCAAGGACATCGCCGCAACTCACACGCCCTCTCAACCCGTCCCCTCTCACACAGCTACCCCCTCATCCCCCCTCCCCCTCGACATAACCCGCAGGGACTTCGTCGCTGCTCAAACTCCCTCCAACCCCGTTCCCCCTCACTCAGCTACCCCCTCATCACCCCTCTCCCACGGCCCCACCACTGCTCTGACCACCCCCACTTCCACCCCACCCTACATTTCTCATACTGAAGCCCCCCCAACACTCCGCACCTTTGACCTTACTACCATCGAGGAAGTCTCCAAGATCCTCTCTGATGCCCGCCTCACCACCTGCCCCCTCAACCCTATCCCCTCACAACTTCTACGACCTCCCTCCCCCTCCATCCTACGCTCCCTTACCCACATCTTCAATCTCTCCCTCTCCTCCGGCACTTTCCCCTCCCCTCTGAAACATGCACACATCACCCCCATACTTAAAAAGCCCTCCCTGGACCCCAATGACCTGAACAACCTCAGACCCATCTCCCTGCTCCCATTTACATCTAAACTCCTCGAGCGCCTAGTCTACACCCGCCTATGCTCTCACCTCAACGACAACAACCTCCTCGATCCCCTACAGTCCGGCTTCCGTCCCCTACACTCCACCGAAACCGCCTTACTCAAACTCTCCAACGACCTGCTAACCGCCAAAGCTAATGGCCACTTTTCAGTGCTCCTACTCCTTGACCTCTCTGCGGCTTTCGACACAGTCGACCACCCCCTCCTCCTCAAAAAACTATACTCCCTCGGCCTCAGAGATTCTGCTCTCTTCTGGCTCTCATCCTACCTGTCACAACGCTCCTTCAGCGTTACCTATAATGCAACCACCTCCCCCTCACTCCCCCTCTCTGTTGGGGTCCCTCAAGGCTCTGTCCTTGGGCCCCTTCTCTTCTCCATCTACACCTCCTCCCTTGACCAACTCATACACTCTCACGGCTTCAACTACCACCTCTATGCCGACGACACACAAATCTATCTCTCAACCCCCCACCTCACCCCCTCGGTCTCCGCCCGAATCACACACCTACTGAGCGACATATCAGACTGGATGTCGCTCCACTTCCTTAAACTGAACCTCTCCAAAACCGAGTTTCTTGTCTTCCCCCCAGCCCGCACCACCCCCCATTGACTTCTCCGTCACATCCAACAACGCCACATCAAACCCGCCCGCAGGCCAGAGTACTTGGTGTCATTCTGGACTCCAACATATCCTTCCAGCCCCAAGTCCAATCTTTAACAAAACTCGTGCAGACTCCACCTCCGCAACATCGCCAAAATCCGCACGTTCCTAACCCCAGAAACCACTAAACAGCTCATCCACTCCCTCATCATATCACGACTCGACTACTGCAACTCCCTCCTCACTGGCCTGCCTCGCCGCTGGCTATCCCCGCTTCAGTCGATCCTGAATACGGCTGCCAGACTCATTTACCTTTCCAACCGCTCCATCTCCGCCACCCCCCTCTGCCAATCCCTCCACTGGCTTCCGATTGCGCAACGGATCAAATTCAAAATCCTAACACTGACGTACAAAGCCGTCCACCATACTGCCCCGAACTACATCACTGACCTAATATCCAAGTACCACCCAACACACGCACACTCCGCTCCTCACAAGACCTCCTTCTCTCTAGTTCCCTGGTCTCCTCCTCCCATGCCCGCCTCCAGGACTTCTCCAGGGTGTCACCCATCCTCTGGAACTCCCTGCCCCAACCCATCAGATTATCACCTACTCTCCTCTCCTTTAGGCGCACCCTGAAAACCCATCTCTTCAGGGAAGCCTACCCCACCCCCTGCTAACTTGCTGACCTCCTCCACTCTTCCTACCACTCCATCCCCCACAGCTATCTCCTCCTGTGCCACCATCCCCTCCCTCCTAGATTGTAAGCTCCAAAGAGCAGGGCCCTCGATCCCCTCATGTTTTGCATTGTACTGGTATTGTTCTGTCACATGTTCTGTCCCCCTCTGTAATGTACAGCGCTGAGCGAAACTATTGGCGCTTTATAAATACTGTATAATAATAATAATAATAATGATTATTTATTAAATTATAATTTATGATTTCAGGTTTCAAATTTTATCCTCCCCGGGATGTTTACTAGACTCTTGTTCGGACAGATTTCAGTGAGTTATTCCTAAAAATTACAGCCTACAAAAAAAAAATACATATTTCCATGCAACAAAAAAATGTACCGCTTTGAGCACAGAAATATGGACATAATCAGAATGCTAGGGAGGTTAACATGCACACCCGCAGCGGTTCGCATGAACGGGGTGCGATTCTGATGCAGTGCGGAATTCCCACAGAAAATGCACCGCATCAATGTGAACCCGGACTCAATCGCATGTTGAATATATCAGCCGCTGAATCGCAGTTATGAAACATCGGAAAGAAGACGTGTCTTGTACTCAAAGACTATTTTTTTTTTTATCGTCATTTTTAGACTTGTTATTTCATATATTTTTCCCTCCATATGTCAACACGTGTGAAGTCACCCTTCTGTTTCCATGGCAGAGAGATATATTTTGGGGTGCAAATTTCGGGAGCCAGACACTTTTTTTTTTTTTTTTCTTATAATGTCAATGCAGCAGATGCGACAGCTGGCCTCTTCACATGGTAAATGACTGTGACTTGTAATTCTCACAGATCGGGGTCATGTGCAGAAAAAGAAAACTGGAGGGTACAATAAATGAAAAAAAAAAAAAAACATAATGATATGAAAACGGGTCATGTGGGGGATATATGGAAATCTGGAAAACCTATTTTTATTTCATGCATTAATGAGCTCCTGAAAGCGCCAATAAATCCGCGGTCCAAGTTGCCTTTTATGTAAATGAACTATTAATAATATTCCAAAGCAGGCGCGTGAAAGTCTGCGGTTAATATCACAGGTCTGCGACTAAAAAGCTGTTTGATTATCTTCATCTAATTTCCATGTATTTTGGTGTGCTGAAAACAAATAAAATATTGAAAAAACTCCTAGACGTCATGATTTGCCACAAAATGAGCTCACCTACACACACTAAACTCGATTCTCCTTCCCTGTGAGGCTCCTCTTGGTGCATTTATTTTGTGAGTAGCATCTGGAACAGGGGCGGACTGACCATTTGGAAACTCGGGCACTGCCCGAGGGCCTGGGGTCAGTAGGGGGCCCCATGAGATGCCCCTGGTACCTTTTTCGAGTTTGGGCAAGGACACAGGGGCCCCATGATCCCCTATTGCCCAATGCCTGATGAGTTTGAAAGTGCATTTCCTCCAGTCCCACCTTGACTACTTTCCTGAAAATTTGGGAGCTGTGAGAGAGGAACAAGGTGAACGATTCCACTGAGACATTAAAGAGATGGAAAGGAGATACCAGGGAAAATGGAGCATTACAATGATGGCAGACGACTGTTGGATGCTTCAGAGAGACATTCCAGATGCTACTCACAAACGTAAATGCACCAAGAGGAGCCTCACAGGGAAGAAGAATCGAGTTTAGTGTGTGTAGGTGAGCTCATTTCAGTTCAAAAAAGGATTTTTCATGAAAAAATTGTAATAAAACTTTAATTTTATCAGTCTATTTTCACTTATTTTGAGGTATTGCCTTATTTAACATAGTTACCTAAATTGTCAGGAAACGTGATGTCCTATGACAAAATGGAGGTCATTTTCGGATTCAGCGCACCAAAAAACATAAAGATTACGTGGAATAACCAAAACAGCTCTTGAAAAAATGTTTTTGGCAGACCTGTGTATTTGGTGCGTTTCCTTTCCCACTGACATATTATTGATTTTATTATATTTATTTCAGGTACTTAACCACTTCCAGTCCGGACACTTTCCCCCCCTTCCAGTCCGGACACTTTCCCCCCCTTCCAGTCCGGACACTTTCCCCCCCTTCCAGTCCGGACACTTTCCCCCCCTTCCAGTCCGGACACTTTCCCCCCCTTCCAGTCCGGTGTCAGGGCTCCCAGGTATGACCAGAGGTGTGTGACTGAAGCAGGGAAACGCAGACTTCAGATATGTGATTAACAATGTAATTTATTAACACTAACAATACAAACATAAACGCAGTGCAAACAAACCCAACCAACCACCCACAGATAACAGTACATACAAGCAAGCGTCGTCAGGCAGGCCGAGTCAATATCAATTGGGCAGGTAGGTACAGGGGGAGCAAGCGGAGAATGGTCGGGGTCACAGGCCAGGGATCAGAACAGGTAGCAAGCAGCGTAGTACAGAGGGTCAGGCAGAGGGATGGTCAGGGTCACAAGCCAGGGATCAGAACAGGTAGCAAAGGAACAGAAACAGGATGCAGGACAGATACAGGGTCCAGGACAAACACAACACCAAGGCAGAGTCTGCAAGTCTGGCCATCCCTTAAATACACCAGTATCATCAGTTCCAGGTGTTAGCTGGCTGAAAGGTTGAGTCTCTGATTGCTGGGAGCACCCGCTGGCCAGCCCTGGTACTGCAGATCAAAAGGCAGGTGAGTCCCACCATTGCTGGCCAGTCCATTCCTGACAGTACCCCCCCCCCCCCATCAAGGAGCGGCCTCAGGACGCTCCAAACAGTCCTAGCTGGGAAAAATGTTCCACCGCCCGGGTCTGGTAACTGGCGGGATATCAAAGACTGGCACACCGGGCAGGACTCCGGGCAGCGGTACACCGGGCAGAGGCACATCGGGCTGGACTCCGGGCAGAGGCACACCCGGGCAGAGCCCACACCGGGCAGGGGGCACATCAGGCTGGACTCCGGGCAGAGGCACATCGGGCTGGACTCCGGGCAGAGGCACATCGGGCTGGACTCCGGGCAGAGGCACATCGGGCTGGACTCCGGCAGAGGCACATCGGGCTGGACTCCGGGCAGAGGCACACCGGGCAGAGGCACATCGGGCTGGACTCCGGGCAGAGGCACATCGGGCAGGACTCCGGGCAGAGGCACATCGGGCAGGACTCCGGGCAGAGGCACATCGGGCAGGACCCCGGGGAGAGGCACATCGGGCTACCATGCGAAGCGGCAGGCAGCGGGCCCCCGGGCGGAGCGGCAGGCACCGGGCCCCCGGGCGCAGCGGCAGCACCGGGCCCCCGGGCGGGGCGGCAGGCACCGGGCCCCCGGGCGGGGCGACAGGCCTCGGGCCCCCGGGCGGGGCGACAGGCCTCGGGCCCCCGGGCGGGGCGACAGGCCTCGGGCCCCCGGGCGGGGCGACAGGCCTCGGGCCCCCGGGCGGAACTACAGGTCTCGGGCCCTCAGGCGGAGCGGCGGGCGCCGGACCCCCAGGTGGAGCGACAGGCATCGGGCCCCCAGGCGGAGCGGCGGGCGCCGGACCCCCAGGCGGAACTACAGGTCTCGGGCCCTCAGGCGGAACGGCGGGCGCCGGACCCCCGGGTGGAGCGACAGGTCTCGGGCCCTCAGGCGGAGCGGCGGGCGCCGGACCCCCAGGCGGAGCGACAGGTCTCGGGCCCCCCAGGCGGAGCGACAGGTCTCGGGCCCTCAGGCGGAGCGGCGGGCGCCGGACCCCCCAGGCGGAGCGACAGGTCTCGGGCCCTCAGGCGGAGCGGCGGGCGCCGGACCCCCAGGTGGAGCGACAGGTCTCGGGCCCTCAGGCGGAGCGGCGGGCGCCGGACCCCCAGGTGGAGCGACAGGTCTCGGGCCCTCAGGCGGAGCGGCGGGCGCCGGACCCCCAGGCGGGTGCGACAGGTCTCGAGCCCTCAAGCGGAGCGACAGGTCTCCGGCCCCCAGGCGGGGCGGCGGGCGCCGGACCCCCAGGTGGAGCGGCGGGCGCTGGGACCCCCAGGCGGAGCGACAGTTTCTCGGGCCCCCAGGCGGAGCAGCGGGCACCGTGTCATCTGGCAAGGCAGTGGGCTCCGAGTCAACTGGCATGACCGCGGGCACTGGGGCAGACATTGAATCGTCTGGCTGGACAGCGGCATCGGGTCACCAGGCATCAGGTCATTTGGCTCGACAGCGGGCACCGCGTCATCTGGCAAGGCAGTGGGCTCCGAGTCAACAGGCACGACAGTGGGCACCGGGTCATCAGGTACCGGATTGTCTGGCTCGACAGCAGGCATCGGGTCACCAGGTATGACAGCGGGCACTGGGTCACCAGGCATCAGGTCATTTGGCTTGCCAGCGGGCACCGCGTCATCTGGCAAGGCAGTGGGCACCGGGTCACCAGGCATTGGATCGTCTGGCTCGACAGCGGGCATCGGGTCACCAGGTATGACAGCGGGCACTGGGTCACCAGGCATCAGGTCCATTTGGCTCGCCAGCGGGCACCGCGTCATCTGGCAAGGCAGTGGCAACCGAGTCACCAGGTACGACAGCGGGCTCTGAGTCAATTGGCACGACAGCGGGCACCGGATCAGGTTACCGGATCATCTGGATCAACAGCGGGCATCGAGTCAACTGGCCTAATAGGATCGTCAGGCTGGATCAGTTCATCATGCTGGGTAGAGGCATCAGGCTGAATGCCGGCGTCCCGCGACCGAGTAGTAGAGCTTCAGGCCCGAGTAGAGGCATCAGGCCGAGTAGAGGCTTCAGGCCGAGTAGAGGCTTCAGGCCGAGTAGAGGCATCAGGCGAGTAGAGGCATCAGGCCGAGAACAAGGCATCAGGCCGAGCCGAGTAGAGGCATTTCAGGCTGAGTAGAGGCTTCAGGCCGAGTCACGGAAGGCAGGCTCACCGGTTTGGTATACTGGCAGGATGGTATTGGTTGGAAAGAATTTTCGTTTTTTTTGGTTGGTTTTAACTACTGGAGCACTGCAAGTAAACGCAGGTCTGCAAACGAATGGGAGCAGTGGAGACAGAGAAGAACTGGAGGATGGAACAGGAGAGGGAGCAGTTGCTACAGAGGGCCTTTTTTCAGGGTTAAGGGCAGGATAGGTGCAGCGAGTGGGAACAGGGTACTGACCATGTGGTAGATAGCCAAGTATACTGGGCTGTAACTGGAGGAGCTGTTGGGAATACACAGAGTAGAGTTAGAAGCAGGACTGGGTTTTGTAAGCTGACTGAGGCTGGGTGCAACACAAGTCTGTCCATGTCCTGCAGTATGGGTTGAACAAAGCTGAGCTTACACAAAGCCTATCTGGTCAATGACTGCACTGCGTTTATACAATCTCTTAGTGTCTGTGGTGAACATGTGGAATAACGCTCCAGAAAGTAACCCACATCATCCTCTAATAACCATACCAGGGACTCTACCTGGTCTGCACTAAATGGTGGCAAAAATTCATCCCTGCATTCGGGGGACCAGATGAAAACCAACTTCTGCACAAACTCAATCAAAGGCTGCACCTCAGAGAACACTGTGCCTGATCTACTAGAACACGAGCGAGCCGTATACATTCTAGCAGTTCATCCCGGGTATTACTCCTTCAGAGTTTGATAAGCATACTCCCTGTCATCAAACACACTAGCAGATATAAATACACAACCTCATCCAGATCCATCCTTCCATCAACAAGCCAAGATGGCTTCCCTGTGCAGCCACTTCTGGTCAGGATTGGCCTTGGTGTAATGTCAGGGCTCCCAGGTGTGACCAGAGGTGTGTGACTGACGCAGGGAAACGCAGACTTTCAGATATGTGATTAACAATGTAATTTATTAACACTAACAATACAAACAATAAACGCAGTGCAATTACTAAACATAATAACACAGTGCAACCAAACCAAACCAAACCAACCACCCACAGATAACAGTACATACAAGCAAGGCGTCGTCAGGCAGGCTGGGTCGAATATCAATTGGGCAGGTTAGGTACAGGGGGGAGCAAGCGGGAATGGTCGGGGTCTCAGGCCAGGGATCAGAACAGGTAGCAAAGGAACAGAAACAGGATGCAGGACAGATACAGGGCCAGGACAAACGCAACACCAAGGCAGAGTCTGCAAGTCTGGCCATCCATTTTTAAAAATAACCACAGTATCATCAGTTCCAAGGTGTTAGCTGGCTGAAAGGTTGATGTCTCTGATTGCTGGGGAGCACCCGCTGGCCAGCCATGGTTCTCAGCAGTCAAAAGGCAGGTGAGTCCCACCATTGCTGGCCAGTTCCATTCCTGACATCCGGACACTTTTCTTCCCCCCCGTTCCAGTCCGGACAAACTTTCACCCCCTTCCAGTCCGGGACACTTTTCACCCCCTTCCAGTCCGGGAACACTTTCTCACCCCCCTCCAGTCCGGAGACTTTCCCCCCCATCCAGTCCGGAGACTTTCCCCCCCCTTCCGGTCCGGATGGGGGGGGGGGGGACACTTTTCACCTTCCTTCCAGTCCGAGACACTTTCCCCACTTCCAGTCCGGAGACTTTCCCCTCCCCTCCATGTCCGCCCCCCCTTTCCCCCCCCCCCACCCGCCCCCTTATCACCCCCCCTCAGGTCCGGACACTGTCACCCACTTCCAGTCCGGACTCTTTACACCTCCTTCCAGTTTGGACACTCACCCCCCTATCCAGTCTGGAACTTTCCCACCTTCCAGTCCGGACGCTTCCCCCCCTTCCTGTCCCAGCGCCAATTTTCAGCTTTCAGCGCTATCACACTTTGAGATGACCATTGCGCGGTCATGACAACACTGTAAACCCATATGATTTTTTTATCAATTTTTTGAGACCAGATAAAACTTTATTTGGTGGTGTATTTATTCACTACTGGGATTTTTATTTTTTGCTATGTAAATGAAAAAGTACCAAAAATTTTGAAAAAAAAGTGTTTTTCTTTTTTGCAATTTTGCAAATAAAATTAATATTTCATCATAAATCTCTGCCAAAATTTATTCAGCTATCATTTTAGTAAAAAAAAAACAAAAATCCAAATTGTTTTATAAGCAAAAATTATAATTTAAAAAAAAAAAATGTTACATTTTATTTTATTTTTTTCTTTTTCTACATTACTGTCTCCCCCTAGCAGTACAGTGTTATCACCAGAGTGACACTGTACTACTTGTGGGGGGTGATGATGATTTTTTTTTATTTAACACTGATTGCTTTCCACACCCTCAGCACCCATAAATGGCTGTAAAAGCAAGACTATAATTTTCTCCTTCTCTCTGGCTGCATTCTTGCATACCACATTGAGAAATACTGTGTGAGCTGTGATGGTCACAGCTTGTCACATGGTACAAAGGCTGTTGTGAATAGCCCTGTACCATGTGATCTCTGTGATCATTCACAGATTTCACAACGTAGCAAGCAATGATGTCAGAAGTGACATCTTGCTTACTACTCTGCATGTGAATCACTGATTGGCCAATCTGTGACCACATGATCAGGACCTCGTACAGAGGTCCCGTACAACGATCGGTGTTCCTCTGTCTTCGGAGGACACAGAAGAAAATAAAAACTAAAAAAAAAAAATCCCAGTATATATACCCACCATTTGGTAAACGCTATAACTTTTCACATAAAACCAATTAATTTACACTATTTTTTTTAGTCAAAGACACGGAGCAGACTACATTTTGGACCTAAATTTATGACGGATTTGATATTTCATTTTTTTTTTTACTGGACATGTTTAATAGCAAAAAAAGTCCAAAATATTGTTTTTTTTCTCCTCAAAATTTGTCGGACTTTTTTTTATTTATAGCACAAAAAATAAAAAACGCAGAGGTGATCAAAATACCCCCGAAAGAAAGCTCGAATTTGTGGAAAAAAAGGACGCCACTACCAGTAAAAATATATATATTTTAAATCCCAGTATCTATCTTAGGCAGCACAGTGGCTAAATGGTTAGCACTTCCACCTGGCAGAAGTACTGGGGTCATTGGAGTTCATAATCCCAACCACAGCACCACCTGCCTGGAGTTTGCATGTTCTCCCTGTGTGCCTGCGTGGTTTTCTCCGGGTACTCCAGTTTCCTCTCCACACTCCAAAGACATGCTGGTAGGTGATTTATTGGCTCCTGTCTAAATTGTGTCCCTAGTATGTGTATGTATGAATGTGAGTTAGGGACCTTAGATTGTACCCCCCTTGAGGGTTAGGGATTGTAAGCTGATGTGAATGTATACAATATATATGTAAAGTGCTGCGTAAAGTGGACGGCGCTATATAAGTACCTGAAATAAATAAATAATAATCTATACTGCCATTTGTAAACACTATAACTTTCATGTAAACCAATTCATTTACACGTATTGGGATTTTTTTTTTTTTTTTAGCAAAGACACGGAGCAGAATACATTTTGGCCTAAATTTATGATGAAATTCGATTTTTTATTTTTTTTTACTGGATATGCTTAATAGCAAAAAGTCAAAAATATAGTTTTTTTTTCTCAAAATTGTCAGGCTTTTTTTTTTATAGCGCAAAAAAAAAAAAAACCGCGAGGGGGATCAAATCCCACCGAAAGAAAACTCAATCTGTGGGAAAAAAGGACGCCATTACTAGTAAAAATATATATATTTTTTAAATCCCAGTATCTATACCGCCATTTGTAGACGCTATATAACTTTCACGTAAAACCAATTAATTTTTCCACATATTGGGATTTTTTTTTAGCAAAGACACGGAGCAGAGTACATTTTGTCCTAAATTGATGCTGAAATTTGATTTTTAAATTTTTTTTTTTTACTGGACATGTTTAATAGCAAAAAGTCCCAAATAATTTTTCTTTTCTAAAAAATTGTTGGACTTTTTATTTTTTTGCGGAAAAAACAAATGCAGAGGCGATCAAATACCACTGAAAGAAAACTCAATTCGTGGGAAAAAAAGGACGCCATTACTATTAAAAATATTTTTAAAAACCCAGTGTCTATACCGCCATTTGTAAATGCTATAAATTTCATGTAAACCAATTAATTTCCACATATTGGAATTTTTTTTAGCAAAGACATGGAGCAGAATATATTTGGGCCTAAATTTATGACGAAATTTGATTTTTAAATTTTTTTTTACTGGACCTGTTTAATAGCAAAAAGTCAAAAATATTGTTTTTTTCTCAAAATTGTCTGACTTTTTTTTCTATAGCGCAAAAAAAAATGCAGAGGTGATCAAATACCACCGAAAGAAAACTCAATTTGTGGGAAAAAAAAGGACGCCATTACTAGTAAAAATATATATATTTTAAATCCCAGTCGATACCGCCATTTGTAGACGCTATAAACGTTCGCGTAAACCAATTAATTTCCACATATAAAAAGTCAAATATATTGTTTTTTTAATGTAATTATTTCAACTACTTTAATTAATTTACACATATTGGGATTTGTTTTAGCAAAGACATGCTAAATGTATGACGCAATTTGACTTTTAAAAAAAAATTTCTGGACATGTTTAATAGCAAAAAGTACAAAATATAGTTTTTTTCTCAAAATTGATGGTTAAGTGTGGCGTTGCATGACCGAGCAATTGTCAGTTAAAGTACTGCAGCGCCGTAATGCAAAAAATGGCCTGATCAGGAAGGGGGTGGGGAATTCTCTGGAGGGCG